TCTGGTTTATTTAAATATCTGCAACAACTTCAGAACATAAAACAATAAAAATCAAAAACTACTTGCAGAGATTCATAGGCCGTTCGTAATTTCTTATCGTGATTTTGACTATGGTAATTTTGTACACCGACTATCACGGCATAAGAAAAGCTTGCATTCAAAATTTTAATCAGTTTTAAGTGATTGTCATTGATTACTTATGTTAATTTAAAGTTTCATGTATTTTCTTTAGTTTTTTTGCGTTGTAAACATAAATTATCATGCCAGTTTTTTTTTTTATTTTTTCATTCAATTTAAGTTATATTATGCTATGCATGTATTTATTATACAATTTTTTTGTCGAAATACTATTTTTCTACTCGTACGATCTCTCAAAAAAAATATTTGACAACACTGGTCTCTCTACAAACGACGTAGATCTGTAGTTAACATCTGAGACGCTAGATGACGCCGTCGTTGCTGGGGTCGTTGCGTTTCCAATCTTTATGTACCTAGTCTCTGTCTGAGGGTATACTACATTGCACTTGACATCCCGGCTCTCCCAACTCCCGACTCAAAGGTTAAGTTGTTAAAAGTTTGATTCGCCAATTAAACGATATTTTTATGGAGAACATTTGTTTGTATTATGACTCATCTCAATTACTTGTCCGTTTCGAATTATATAATCCTAAATTACTAATTACAGGCCAGGGCTTTTATTCTGTTATCGTAATGCTTATTAGAGGTAAATAATAGTAATTATTATTTCTTAGTAATATAAATAAACTCATGTTGTCAGCTATTAATCAGCCGCAACCAGTAGGTTGCCAGGTGTGAACAGGTATGTTATTGTTAATTATTTGCACGTGTTTTTCAATAAAAATATATACTAAATTGTAATTTAATTTTGCTGAACATGATAGTATATGTGAAAAATGGCCGCAAATAGTCGTTGAGGTATTTGAATTAAGGTAGTTCACTCGTAAACCGGCTTTTCTTAATAATACAATAAAATTGAAATATAAGGTTAATGAAAGTGTCTTTTATGTAAATGACCGACTGTGAAACGAGATATTAACAATCAAAATGTGCATAATTAACACTCTTAAAGCCTCTCATGTACACAAGTAATGCATTTATTTCAAGATATCTCGAAAACGGTTCTTACCATATTTTTTAAAAACTAATGTAATGTAAATCAAGAAGTTATAAAATTTTCTAAAGAAACGCTAAATTTTTTGACCATCTTAGTAAAAAAATATAGATTTTTAAAATAAAAATATTTTTAAAGCAATCGACGCGTAGTTCCGTAAAATTATTACAACTTGGCAACGTTGTATACGCTGCAATCAACGCGTTGTACCAACATAACACTCGATCAGCTAAGAGGATGTTATAACCTCGCAACGTTTTCTTGAAAAATTAATTCGTCTACTGTTTTTGAGAACTGGAATCAGCGGTTCTGTTTGAACCAAAACAAACCCTTAAAATTAATATGAGGAAGTCACAAATTTCTATAGCAAACCATTCATGTATTTATGAGGTTGCCGGATGGATTTTATGAAAATCCATATATATATATAAGCTTACATGTGTTTTCTACAGTATCTTACAAAAATAAAATTGATTAGCATTGAGAATCTAGAACTATTGGTATTCACCATTAAGCGATATTTTTATGTACGACTGTCGCGAGTGAACTACCTTAATTACTCCTGTTCTAAATGAGAGTGAACGAGGGAAAAGAAATGCGCGAGCCCTCGTGTTGTAGACAAGGACGCAGCATAACACATGTTACTACTGTACAGTGTTGCCATTGATAGGGAAAATTTTCCTAAATCTGGGGATAATCTGCAATCAGTAGGGAGAAAAAAAGGAAAATTTTCTATAATTCAGGGAATTTATAAACTTCTTTAATTTTGTGATATTTGTAAAAAATTATATTAAGATCGCTTAAGAAATTATTTTATTATAGTCAAAGACAACAGGCCCAAAGGGTTGCCATATCATAATCTGTCATTACCCACGGGCAGCATTTTGACAGGTAGATGAAATGCCTAATACAATATAAAATAAATAAAAGATATACCTAAGTAAGTATTATAAAAAAACTAGACGTTATTATTTGGATTAAAAATACATCTAATTAAAAAAAAATAAAAATTAACGCGGAATACTAATATATACTAATTGTCTGTATCAATTTTGAAATTTAAACAGTTGCTGTGTTTTATTAAAGTTTTAGTATATATTTGTATGATTCCTCGTAAAATACCAGCGAGCCGAGTTCTAGGGATTTACTTGCAGAGTTTCTTTTTGTTTATATTTTGAGAGTAAGCGTTTTTACCAAGGGTAAATAATTTTCTAATAATTTCTTAAGTGGGTACATTATATATTTTTTTGCAAATATCTCAAAATTAAAGAAGTTTTAAAATTCTCTGAATTATAGTAAATTTTCTTTTTTCCCGATTGATTGCAGATTAGCAGCAACGAATGTTCTCCTTACCGATCTTTCAAAATAGTTTTTAATTATTTTGTAGGGGTGAATTTGGCATTTGTTTGGGAATTTCCAAGGATTAACATCTTCATTTGGGAAGTCCCAGGGACGTCCCTAAGATGGACGAAAACGGGACATAAAGACGTCCATTGGACGTCCGTTTGACGTCCCGGTACCAAAAGAAGACGTCCCTCGGACGTCCATTATGTCCCCGAAGGACGTCTCTTAGACGTCCATAAGACGTCCGTGTGCTATGTAGGTATTTTAATGACAATTATAATAGCAGTTAAAAAAATACCTTGGAAGCCCGCCATAACATAAAAATTGCAAATAAACAAATAACCTACTTACAGGTGACAAATGACACCTACAAAATTAATTTCTTTTAATACAAACATATATCAGTTATTCGTAATCATCATCATATTGTAATCATAATGGGAGGAATTCTCTTTCTAAATAAAATATATTCCTTAAATTTTATTTCTAGATATTCGTTTTGCATCCAGATGAGTGAGGCGTTTCAACAAATTTAGTCTTAGACACATGATAAATATTATATTTGTAACAATAGCACAGAAACTAAACCTAAATAGACACTAAAGAAAAGTTAAAAACACTACCCAGATAGCACAGGACGTCCCATAGACGTCCTGATTTGGTCCAGTTGATCCCGGATCTAAACAGGACGTCCACTGGACTTCCGAGATTACCGTGAATACTAGGACGTCCTTCGACGGACGTCCTCTGAAAGTCCTATTTTGGTCCCGTTTCGACAAAGCGTTTAGTTTTCGATCCGAGTCCAGGACGTTAACTGGACGTCCATGGGACTTTCTATGTACTAGCATCGTTGGTCTTTAAATTGAACGTTTTGTTTTTGCAAGGGTATGAGGACAGAAAACCTAACCTATCATTTATTTTCAAATGAACAGCAACAGCTACAATTTGCGGCATTAAATAATTAACTTATACAGGGTGTTAGTAAATAAGTGCGACAAACTTCAGGGGGTGATTCAGCATGAAAAAATAATGACAGTTTGCTATATAAACGTATGTCTGAAAATGCTTCGTTATCCGAATACGGGGTGTTAAAGTTTTTCTTAAAAACTGACGATTTGTTTATTGCTCTGAAACCGGTCAAGATATGCCCCATAATTAAAGATTTTTTGTCGCAGATTGAACGAGGAACTCAAAAGTGAATTTTAATTTGAAATATCTCAGTGGCGTACCATTTTTTTCTTTAAAATAATTGAGATCATTACCCGTATGCGCGCCAATGATGAACATAAAGTTCTTAAATGCATGTCAAAAAATGCGCAATAACTACCTCTTAAAGCCCACCAAATTTCATTTGCATATCTCGACGGGATTCAGAGCAATAAGTAAATCATCAGTTTTTAAGAAAAACTTTAACACCTCGTATTCGGAAAACGAAGCATTTTCAGACATACGTTTATATAGCAAATTGTCATTATTTTTTCATGCAGAACCACCCCCTGAAGTTTGTCGCACTTATTTACTAACACCCCATATAAGTGAGTTAGTTTAACGAAGAAAAAAGAACGTTATGTAGTGTTAATTATTATTTTTTTGTTAGACCCAAAGTTTCATCTTACCAGCGCTGTGTGTCAAATTTAATTCATTCCTGTTTTTTTTTTTGTAAACTGAAAACGTTTAACTCTAGCTAGTTTTTTCTGGATAAAAGTTGTTAAATAAAGCCCTTTCATTGTTAACATTTTTGTTATTATTACCCTTTATGGATTAAGGTCAAATATCGTCCCTCGGACATCTGATTTACGTCCCTAGGACGTCCCGCAAAGGTCCCTATGCATGACGTCCTTTTGGGAAGTCCCTAAGATGGACGGAAATGGGACATTACGACGTCCATTGGACGTCCGTTTGACGTCCCGGTACCAAAAGAAGACGTCCCTCGGACGTCCTTTATGTCCCTGAAGGACGTCTCTTAGACGTCCATAAGACGTCCGTGTGCTATGTAAGTATTTTAATGACAATTATAATAGCAGTTAAAAAAATACCTTGGAAGCCCGCCATAACATAAAAATTGCAAATAAACAAATAACCTACTTACAGGTGACAAATGACACCTACAAAATTAATTTCTTTTAATACAAACATATATCAGTTATTCGTAATCATCATCATATTGTAATCATAATGGGAGGAATTCTCTTTCTAAATAAAATATATTCCTTAAATTTTATTTAAGAAATATAACACAACTTGGCAACAGTGTACTTCTTATATCGCATTCTTTAATCTTCAATGTCAAATCACACACAAATAAATTTAATGAATTATTAAACTAACCTAAAAAAATGTATTAAAAAAATAGGATTTAATCAGGTTTCCTACATCAAATTTCGTTAATTGAATGTTATTCCAGTTGTTTAAAAGTATGAAAACAAATTTTGTGAAGAGATATTTCGTGTATATTCAAATTTCGCCATTATTTCATTTGATCAGATATAACAAGATAAAAAAAATAAATATCGTAAAATCATACTATCATTTTGTTCCAACAATCCAGTCAAAACCGCCTCTCTGTAATTCTTCGGGGGATTTTTATCCTGGAAGGGGCTAAGTACGGTTACTTCGTGACCCGCTTTCGCCAGCCCCCTCCCCAAAGCGTTGCCCAGGATAAAATGACTGGGCGACGTCGCTGGAAATAGGACCAAAATTTTGTAACATTGAACCCAACTCACCGCGCACAAAAAAATCAAAGCAAACCACTTCATTTTAGACAAATTTTTAAATTTCGCTCTCGAGAGTTTTATCCGCGATGCAAGGGTATCTATGGTGCGCTGCTTGTGCGTGTGGTTCAGTGTCAGTGTTGTAAGAATCAGTGTTGCCAGGTCATAATATTATTTTTCAGTAAACTGCCTGTATAAAATTCAGTAGAAATCAGTAGGAAAATGAGTTGCCTAATTAAAGGGGCAAATGTTTTTTTAACGTTGCAGTGGAGTCTCTTCCGATTAGAGTAAGCCTTATAGCGCTTTCGATTTTTGCTCGAAAACCTCTCCTAGGCGCCCCGAGATCGAACTCGACAAGGTTCAGATGTTCGATTTCACGCTCGGTGTTGCTCTCGGACAGAACCGCGTATTCGATTTTCCAAAATCGTTGCCCCCAAATCTGAAAACGATCGATCTAGCTTGCTCTCACTTTTGATACGGATCAATACAGATTGACATTTTCGAGCAAAACAAATCTATAACCTCATTTTTTTTAACAATAAAGAATTATGAACAAACGAAAACTTGTACAGATTGAGGAACTACTATTCTGATCTAGTTTTTCTGATGAGGAATAGGAATGCCAAAATTTGGGTGAATCTTGAGCCACCAAAAAAGCAGACTAAAATAATTAATTTTGTGGCTGAAGTAGTACCAGAATATACAGAGTCTTAAGTTAGTAAGATTAACATGTTTTAAGCCACTTGTTTAACTGAATTGGCATTATATCGTAATTTTGACCTTTGCACCAAAAATATAATCCAAATTCAGTGCCCTGCATACGTAAATTAACTTTCAAGATCCACTGGTTACTAGAGCAGGTCCGACTGATACTTTTTTTCGCACTACGAAATAGTTATCGCCCATTTTTTCAAAAAAGATACAGAAATAAGTTTGAATCACCGTAGTTATTCTTTCCTTCTTTTAATGGGCAATATCCAAGGGATGAATTAACGCAAGAAATTGTAAGGTTAGGGTTAGATTACAAAAATAAAATCGTGATCGTTTATTGATCTCTATCGAGCTGTCAAACTAGCTCGTCCTTCGATTCTGAGCGGTTTTCGAGCGAACCGACGTAGATCAAGTGACGTCACTGCCCTCATTTGGGGCGCCCCAGGGCAGTCAAAATCGAAAGCGCTATAAATTTTACGTATTTGACACTGTTTTGACTTGTTACTATGTTAGAGGAACTATAAAAATTATTAGCCAAATCATATTAACAATAGAAAATATCTAATATATAACAAGTGTAAATTAAAAATTTAAAAAAACCGACTTCAAAAACGTGCAGATGCCATCACCACATCTTAACCAAATTTATATGGGATCACCCCTGAGGTACCCCCTTACTGACAAAAAAGAATCATATAAATCGGACAAGGTGGTAAAGCATTATCGCTAAACATACATAAAAAATGAAGAGTTTGAGGATTTTCTCATGGACCCAATTTTTAAATTTAGACCAAATTTATATGGGACTACCCCTGAAGTAGCTTCTTTCTAACAAAAAAAGAATTATTGAAATCGGACACCGTGTTAAAGAATTATCGCTGAACATACATAAAAAAAAAAATATCGCGGCGAATTGATAACCTCCTCCTTTTTTGAAGTCGGTTAAAAAATAGTTTATTAAGAATTGGAACATCATTGAACATAAAAAATAAATATTACATATTATAAAATAAAATACCTTAAACAAAACACACTTAAACACTAAAAGAAATATATTCTAATCGGAATCGGAGTTAGAATCAGTCAACTGTTTATCATTTTTTTGTACATGCTATTATTATTAAGCTCTAAAAGATCTCCTAAAAACTTGACCTTATGGCAGTTAGCATTCCTACTCATTAAGTAAGTTTTTACATGTAAATTGCCAACAATAATCGTCGTGGAAAGCTTATTTCTTTGCTTGATTGTACAGTAAAACACCAGCCAGAAAACCACAATATTTTTTAAATTTTATATACCATACCACAGCGCACACTGCATGGAATGTAACTCGAAATACAACACAGAACGACACAATACAAGCAATGGATGCCGGGATTCCATAAAAATTCCCAGGAAAGTTATAAAACAACACAGCTGGCTGCCCGCTATGCTGCGTTCGAAAACGCACCAGGCTGACAGGTGACAGGGCTCGTCCAAAGAGTAGAGATGGGCAATGTCGTGATTTTCAAGTATCAGCGATACTTGTCCCTGTGACTTTTAAATATCAGTGATTTTAAGTCGTGATTTTGTAACAAAAGTGACAGCAAATAAGCAAACGTTTTCTTCTACATAAAAATGAAATAAGGGTAGAAGTACTAATATTCTACAGAATCTTTTTCCTTGACTCTTTTGTCGAACTACTACTGGTTCAAAACAAATTATAAAAAAATAATTGACTAGTTAGAGAATTTATTGACACATAAAAATGCAAGTGTCGGCAATGACATATGATAAGTGACATTATTGCTTGCAAAAGGGTCGTTTAGCTCTTATGGCTTCCATTAGTAAGGTGTTAAGCATAAAATAGTATCCCCTACATAAGGGTATAAAGGTACTACTCCCGTTTTATAATTTAACTCGAATATTTTTTTATTGATTTTTATGGTTTCCAGTAGTAAAATTATTGTCATGTCACGACTTCAAAGTCACGAGTCATGGAGAGCTTGTCACTGTTGTAACTGTGACGTGAAATATCGCCCATCCCTACCAAAGTGTGTACAAATCGCTTGTTTTGCTGTGATTTTTTATTTTTTTTTTTAATTCCAATGTGATTAGAATTTAAAAAAGACTCACAAAAAGCGAATAACAATAAATAATAATTGATATCAGTATATGAGTAGCCCAATTTACTGAAAAATTGGTAGAACTGGCCACACTGGTCAGGATACTAGCATCAGTAGCATCCAAATCTTGGAACTATGTTCAAAATTATCGTAAACTATAGTTTCGGGAAATATTGCGACAACTCCACCCACAATGCGTCGGAGTGGGGAACATGGCACAAGGTTCGAAAAAGAGGGGATGCTTGACGTGTCGCAATATATATTCCGAAATTATTCAATCGTACCCTTTATAAAAACACCAAAATCGTATAAAACGATCATTTGGGTACATCTGGCAACATTTCTATGATTATATAAAGATTTTAAATAAATATACTTGTTTAGTGCTTCACAATATTGATGCATAGATATATTAGATATTTCAAGGTTATTAAATATATCGTGGCTAAAACGTGTTTTGTAATTTTGTTATATTAGACAAGTAACATAGGTACAAAGGCTGTATAAAGTTATTTGACTGGATGGGTTTACCTGAAAATTGACGCCAAGGTATAATGCATGTAAAAACATTGACCCTTGCCATTAGGTAACAATGCCGTTTCATCTGTTTCTAATAAAAAATTTATTTTTGTGTAAGAATATAGAAAATAAACTACTTTATTTTATGAAACAAAACAATTATATTTAAAAAGTAAAGATCGTATTATAATATCAGGCAGGACAGTTCGTTTCTGGTTCATTTACCAATACATAGTGAATGTTTAAGGTTTTCTCATCCTAAGCATATATTCGTTAACATTAACAAGTTCTTTTAATGTGTTCTGTCGAAATATCTCATAAATAAAGGCCATTTGGCCATCTTGTATATAAACCTATCCTCAGGCTTTTCATTAAACCAAGAGGAAATGTATAATCTCAATCCTGTCATGATCTGTCGATCCTTCAGGTAATAATGAGCCCAAAACAAGAGCTTGTGCGGGGTTATTTGTCGTGGTGGTCCGGGGCGACTTACAGATGATTAATGGTGCCATTTCACTTACAGATGAGGAAAGCCCAGAAAACCCCACTCACCATCATAAGGATCCATTGTTCTCATTGGGATGGTTACAAAAATCCGTTGACCTATGGAGATCAGTTGACCTCTGGAGATCCTTTGATATCGTTGTACTGGTTACAGAAATCCGTTTCTTTCTTCGTATTAAAAATCCGTTGATCTTTTTTGTTCTAGAGAATTGTTGATCTTTTTCTGTTAAAGATCTGTTGATCTTTTCGTTTTAGAGATCCGTAGATCTCTTCATGTTAAATATCCGTTGATCTTTTCGTCTTAGAGATCCGTAAAATTTATTGTAATAAGGATCCATTGATCATTTCATTTTGAAGATCCGATGGTCTCATCGTATTAAAGATCCGTTGATCTTAGAGACTCATTGATCTTTTCGTGTTAAAGATCCGTTAGTCTTTTCGTGTTAAAGATCCGTTGATCTTTTCGTCCCAGAGATCCGTTAATTATTTAGTCAAGTTCCGTTGATTTCTTCATGTTAAAGATCTGTTGATATTTTCGTCTTAAAAATCCATTAATCTCATCGTATTAAAAATCCGTTGGTATTAGAGATCCGTTGATTGATTTGTGTTAAAGAGCTGTTGATCTTTCTGTTTTAGAGAATCGTTAATCTCTTTATGTTAAAGATCCAATGATCTTTTCGTCTATGAGATCTGTTGATCCCATCGTGTTAAAGATCTGTTGATGTTAAAGATCCGTTGACGTTTTTGTCTTAGAGATCCGTTGATGTCTTTAAGTTAAAGATCCGTTAATCTTAGAGATCCATTGATCCCTTCGTTTTAAATATCTATTGATCCTTGTGTTTTAGAGATTAACGGCTCTTTATATTAAAGATCCATTGATCTTGTCTTCTTAAAGGCATCTTTTGATAAAACTGCAAATGGAACAGACTTACGGAAATGATTCAGCATTCCAATTTTCATTTCATTCCTTGAAGCGTAATTTTTTGTGTGTTCGTAGTACCGCTGACGTACATGTCCCCTAAATATGCTTGATATATTAATAATAATATACTCGTTACTCCAATTATACCTTTTCGCTAAGGTGTCCACTTTTATCAACCACAATTTGACCGTGTTGTTGGCTTTTGTGGAATCAAACACTGGGATTGCTTATTCGTCACTTACATAAATTATGATAACTTACAACAAAAATTAGAATCCATTACGAATAGCAAAATCGTCTAGCATTAGAGAATACCATAATCGCATGCTTCTCGTTTTTGTGATCGAACTTTGTTGAGAAGTCCGCTTGGCGCTTTC